AGTTATTGTAGTATTACTCTTGATTCTAAGGGACCTGGAATGGCCTGGTGGTTATGGCACTCAAATAGCAACATATAGGTTGCCGGTTCAAATCCTGTCAACAAACATGCTAGTCCTTTCATCCATGAAGAGATGAGGTGTTATAATGTCACGCTCAATCGCACTATTCGTTGGTAAAGAGTAATCCAATAATTGGTGATTGGTGTTATTGATTAGCTGTCTTCCTTCTAGTATATCATTTCAAAATTAGGGACGGCTAGTGCAAATAGCCTTCAAGTAGCTTTGCGCGAAGAAAAATTCATCAAAAACAAACGAAACAAACAAAACTTGACTCTAAGGTTATCATTACATGTGAGAATACCACATGATAATAAACTCGGGCAGCAACGAAAGTGCAAATCACAAATAAAACAGAAATATTTATTCATACAATAATGTGTGCACATGTCTTTTACTTAAATAACTTACCTTGAATGTAATTTTTCAGAGAATGACAGCAAGTAGTTGCAAGGTAAAAATTAATTTCCTAAAATGTTAAAACTAACAAGAACAGATTCAATAATATGTTGTGTTCACAGAGATCAAAACCCAACTATGGACCAGCTATTAATTTCATCCTTACACTACTAGTATAGAACAAATCGTTTTTTAGGCAGTATTCACATTCTTTTTTTTTTCTCTAACTATGCAGTTCCTGCATGTAATTAATCATAATCATGTGGACATGATGTCTTGAGGTTGTAGAAGTCTTTTATACGGATATAGGTTACATACAGCATCCTTTGTCTGAAGCTATCATGTAAATGTTTCTGTATGTATTTCTTGGACTGTAACCTATTCAAATGGTTACTACAGTAACCTGTACAACTGGCTTGGCTTAGAATCAAATTGTGGGATATCTCACCAAGGCTTTACCTGCGTATATAAATGAGATATTCCCAGGGTTCTGTCTCTTGATTTTCGCTATCTTGTTTCTTTCGTTTTTCGTCTTTATGAGGTTTTGTGTCCTGCCCTCAGTCCCAGCAGACGTACTATAATCATATATGATAAGAAGCCTGGCTAGTTTGATGACATACTACTGTGGTCTCATTAAAAATTAACGTTTCTAAATCCACGTGTATTCACTTGTTTTCTTTTCCTCTCCGTGTTCAATTTAATTTTCTCTTAAAAGTTTTGATCCTGTGTTTTTGTGAAAACTTGTCTTTCTTGTCAGACATTAGTGAACCTGAATACCATACGAGGACCAAACCAATAATAATAAAATATCACACTTTAAAGTCAAACCAGAGTTCTAGTGTGGTATCCCACAATCATTAGATTACATACTTCAACGATCATTCACAAAAAAAAAGAAAAAACTTATTCAAGGAAGAGAGCCCCGTCTCATACTAACTTACATAATCCCACTTCAAGAGACAGGCACACAAACAGGGCTAAGAGAATGGTCGTTGTAGTATGTAACCTTGACCTATGCAAAATAATTAATTTAACTTTTTGGCCTTTGTACATTTGTTTAACTTTGAGGAAGACGCTAACTACGCGCAGATTGTTTATTTATTTCTGTTGTATTTCTCGCAAAACTATTTAAGGGCCATTTACGCTAACGTTCCGTAATTTTGAACGATAGATGAAAGAGAAGGCAACTATCAATAGCACCAACTGCCAACTTAAGGACTACTCTTCACTAGCAAATAACTACAAGCACAATATCTGCACGAAAATTTAGAATCGTTATCTATATATTTATTATTAAAGATATTGTTA